TGAAGTGAATGGGCTTTCATTTCTTGGCCCATTTGAATCTTGCTTAGGTCTGAATTCATTCATGAAAGTCCTAATCCTCCAAAGGTTTTCCTGCTATAAACTAATACAAACTGCTTTATATTACTTTGCAGTTTTATCCGGTAAATCATATAAAATATTGGTCCATTTTAGAAAATTTATTTTGTGCTTATAATTCAAAATACATGTTAAACCTACATATTATTTCTATAAGTCTTCAAGGGAAGGTTTTATATTGTTATGAGAAAGTGTAATGGTGATAGGGACAATCAAAACAATCATGGATTTGATTAAAGCCAATGCAGGTGCCACGCCCTCTTTTAGGGACAGCAGAAAGAACAATCAAGCCAGAGGCTTCCCAGGTGCAAACCCAGGAGCCAGGACATTGATTGTAGGCAGAAAGCCAGGAGAAGGCATGTGAGTGATCCTGAGAAGGAGCAGAAAGACACAGCTTCCGGGGCACAGAACTTTAGAGTGGCAGACCTGTGGATTTTTGTGCTAGGAAACTGCCTGCTATTTGTTTCTACTGAGTTTGAGGACTTTGTGTACATTAATTACAGCAAGAAAATTCATGATTTGTATCACTAATTTCTCATCCTAATGGAAAAATCTACTAGGCCCAGAATTTTGGCTAAACAGTTGAGCTAGAAGGCACTTAAGTAAGATAAAAGGAGAATCAATTTTAATGAATTCTGAAACATTTTAATGAGTTGATTAATTTTTAAAATTTTTGTTTGACAACAGTCACAAACGGAAGTGAAATATTCAATTTCCCTTACATTCTATTATTCGGAAGTCAAAACTAACTAGGGATTGATTGTTAATAAAATGGGTGTGGCATTCCCCAGGATACAATCTGGACTATTGAACAGCTGTGTCCCCTTAATTGTCTGGCCTGGGGTGTCTCTTACATGACTATGCTGTCAGAACATCCACACCTGGCCAGCTCACACAACCTTCATTATGCAAGTTCACTCCTAGCTAAACACACAAGCACTCTAACCAGTCACTCATGAATTGCACATAGGGGGACACCCACAAATTCTTATTTCCAGACTTTCCCCTAGAAATGTGCATCTTGTACTGTGTAGCACACTACTGAACATTGCAAGCTCATAGAAAGTCTGTCATTTCATCGAAGGAAAATGATATGTCCATCAGCTTTGCTTGTCCCAAATGGAGATTCCTACACACTTTAATCCAAACACACTTGTTAAGATAAAACAATAAGAGAAGTTTATTAACTACAAAAAGATAGATTTTAAGTGATTACAAGAATTGATGCATAGAAGTCAGAATTGGTTACAAAATAAAAGAATAATATGCAAGCTAATACCTAACTTAACAAGACTTAAAAGCAAAGGTTTTGTCTCAACATATGCTGCTGTAACTTTTACAGGCTGCATCTCCTTTCAGCCTGGGACCACTTCCCACTTACTTCAGTTCTTTGAGAGCTGTTAATGTCATGAGCAGAGAGACAGGAAGAGGGGAGGTGAAGTCAAGTGTTTTCCTGCCCTCCTATAACTCCATTGCTTGTGCTAGAAACATCCTTCCTGAGTCACAGTGATAGGCAATCTGTTGTGGATGTGAGGTTTGAAATGTTGCTGTGATGCAATGTAAATTGCTTAGTCACATCTTCTCATTGCTGGAGAAGGACTGCTTGTCTTAATCTTAGAGCATGTTACAACACTTATACATAATGGAATCTAATAACTTCCCATACAATGTTGATATACTAATTTTACCAGGAGAACAATATTCAGCACTTTATGAGTTTTCAAGTGATATCTTACAAGGCAACTTTGTACAAAATGTATCATACTTTGGAAAAGTGGTGAGCATAATAGGATAGACTGTCACAATGTGTGATTATAAACATGTTATAGTATATCAGGAAACAAAGGAAAATTGCTCAATCAGTGATGTGAAAATCTGGGGATAAATTCATTTTGTACAAACTTGGGTACCCAAAATAACCAAAGAAATTGAAAAAGTTGTGATCAAGAAACTAATAAAAATCCTTGGGCAGTTTGAAAATGGACTAAAAAAAAAACCAGAATTGACGCTACTGATATGTAAAGGACCTTATGCAGTTTTAACTCTTACAAATTTAAATTTAAATACAAAGAGTAAGTTTCAGGAAAACAAAATACTGAATTACCATCATCAGTTGTGAACAAATTTCACATGCCCTAAATCCTGATAGAGAAAACAATTTTTCTTGGAGAAAGGCAATTACTCAAAGTAAAAGCCAGTTTTATTTGTGTATGATATACTTCAAAGCATGGGACTAACAAATTGGGACATACCATAGGTCACTCCACCCAGGAAGTACCAATGCGCAGCTTTTATAGAAGTCAGTGAGTTAGGATTCTCTTGCATTTTATCTCTTGCACCTGCAAACTAGACTCCAAAAAGGAATCTCCAGCTCCCAAAGAAGAAGAATAGTCAGTCAAGAAATATCTCTGGACAAGGGCATCTGCGAGGAAAACCCCATGTTTAAGACACAAGCAAGAGAGCTACACTGAAAAAACACTACAGCACAGTTGCAGCAGCTGATGTGGTAAGACAAGTTTGTGGGTGTAACCAAGTGTCCACAAAGCACTACAAAGGGATTAGTTTGTCTTTATTCATAAATCATCCACCTGTATCTGGAACAGGTATTCTGACTTGGAGGAGGCAAATAATAGTATTACTCAGAAGGCTAGATTCTATTCTGGGATCCAGATCCTTTGTGCTGCTCTGTTTGCATGAAAAGGAGCTGGATCTCCCCAGCCTTGTATTTCCCTGGTGTATTTCCCCAGGCATAGCCAGCTCTTGCATCCCCTGCCTTCCATTACAGTTCCTGGCATAGGCAGCAAGCATATAGGCATTGTGTTAGGGCAGCCATTCCTTGCAATTCCCAACGTAGGGAGTGTGTAAGGCTCATTAAAAGTGTGGCCAGAATAATAAGCTCTGGCTGTTCTTGAGTGGTGTAATGGCCTGGGGGGCCATAGTCAGCCAGCATATTGAGCAACAGCAGCTACTGGTCATAGTTGAGAATCTGGACCATAATTAATAATTGCTCTAACTACATTCCAGTTCCATGAGGTGTCTGAGGGCTTAGAAATCAGAGGACTTTGGCCCAAATCCACAAAGGGCCTTGCGTGTTGTGATGTTGTCACTGGACAATGGGTTGTTCTGCTGATGGTCCTTATCCAGCTCTCCAGCTAAATGATTGAATAATTAAGAATCAATTGGGCCAGAGAATGAGAATTGCTCTATAATCAATGGCAGTCACCTGAGAGGTTGGGGAACCCCTGTTCAAATCCCTTCTCCACATCAGTCAGAGGAGGGAATTGAACCATGGTTTCCCAAATTCTGGGAGACTATCTAGCAACTGGGCTCAAGATTATAAGGGAATCCTCCTCCTACCCCCACCCCAGCTGTTGTGTGGAGTTAGGTGCCCTGTGGGCAACCCTACCAGATCAAGCCAAGCATTCAAGATAGGGACTCCTTTGCCCATCTTCTTCCAGTTTGTGGATCACGCTGGGGCTGAGGTGGGAGATAGGTGCTAGGGTGCCTAGTGTGAGGCAGCAATGCGCATGTCCAGAATCAGAAGCATAGGTTTCTAGGGAATTTTTACTGCAAAAGTTAAGGTGCCAAGTGAGTTTGGGTACCTACAGGTTAGATGGCAGCAAAGTGGGGATTTTGTGGTGCCTAACAATGGGATTTAGGTACTTCAGTCCCTTTGTGGATCTGGACCTTTAAGTCTAATGATCCTTTACTTTGCTGACCATTTGAGCCTATGCTTTGTCTGAACTGACTAATGAAAGGGGGTTCCACCAATAATTAGAGACTCACATTTAAAAGTAGGGGTTCCATTTAAATGTCCACTTGTGAACACTGGGTTACAAGATATAGAATAAGTTATATTCAACATTAAACAAATAGAATAACTGAAGTGTTGAGTACTGAAGCATTAGCTGAAATAAACTGTACTAGCAGTCACAGTATTGGTAGTTACAGAAGTAGCTATTAATGTAGTTTCTCTTTGTCTAATAATTAGGTAATTACTTTGAGGTCAAAGAATTCACATAAATTAGTAACTGATGTGGGGAAATGATGTTGTAAGCTAGTTAAGACTTTTGTTAATTGAATCTCATTGTCAATTATTTTTCTGTATATTAAACTATCTCAAGGATGAACTCTAGCATATCTAATGTATTCTGATCATTTGCTTCAGAGGTACCTTTTAAATTGCATCTGGACAAAAACCACGGCACTCTAATGATTTTTGTAGAACTGATCTCCACAGTAAAACACCCCAATTCTCCCTGTTATTACTTTTCTCTACAGGCACAAACTTGATGCTTTCAGTTGGGGAAAACTGGTGGTTCAGAAATGTTATTCTCCCTACATTCTGCAGTATTGTTTTACATACCAAGCCCAGGTTTTCCATCAGTGGTGCTACATATAACACAATCATAGTAGAGTATGAATAATAGATAATAATAATCTTCCTTTACTTAACACTTGTTTTCAAAAGATTTCACAAACATCCGTTAATGCTTGCAACACCCCTATGAAGTAAGTATTATTCTCATAGTAAGGCAGGAAGGTTAAGTGACTTTCTCAGCCCTGGTCTACACTAGGACTTTAGGTCGAATTTAGCAGCGTTAAATCGATGTAAACCTGCACCCGTCCACACAATGAAGCCCTTTATTTCGACTTAAAGGGCTCTTAAAATCGATTTCCTTACTCCACCCCTGACAAGTGGATTAGCGCTTAAATCGACGTTGCCAGCTCGAATTTGGGGTACTGTGGACACAATTCGATGTCCACATCGGACATTGGCCTCCGGGAGCTATTATGACCTCCATTATGACTGCTCTGGACAGCACTCTCAACTCAGATGCACTGGCCAGGTAGACAGGAAAAGAACCGCGAACTTTTGAATCTCATTTCCTGTTTGGCCAGCGTGGAAAGCTGCAGGTGACCATGCAGAGCTCATCAGCAGAGGTGACCATGATGGAGTCCCAGAATTGCAAAAGAGCTCCAGCATGGACCGAACGGGAGGTACGGGATCTGATCGCTGTATGGGGAGAGGAATCCGTGCTATCAGAACTCCGTTCCAGTTTTCGAAATGCGAAAACCTTTGTCAAAATCTCCCAGGGCATGAAGGACAGAGGCCATAACAGGGACCCGAAGCAGTGCCGCGTGAAACTGAAGGAGCTGAGGCAAGCCTACCAGAAAACCAGAGAGGCGAACAGCCGCTCTGGGTCAGAGCCCCAAACATGCCGCTTCTATGATGAGCTGCATGCCATTTTAGGGGGTTCAGCCACCACTACCCCAGCCGTGTTGTTTGACTCCGTCAATGGAGATGGAGGCAATACGGAAGCAGGTTTTGGGGACGAAGAAGATGATGATGAGGAGGAGGTTGTAGATAGCTCACAGCAAGCAAGCGGAGAAACCGGTTTTCCCGACAGCCAGGAACTGTTTCTCACCCTAGACCTGGAGCCAGTACCCCCCGAACCCACCCAAGGCTGCCTCCTGGACCCAGCAGGCGGAGAAGGGACCTCTGGTGAGTTTACCTTTTAAAATACTATACATGGTTTAAAAGCAAGCATGTGAAAGGATTACTTTGCCCTGGCATTTGCGGTTCTCCTAGATGTAGTCCTAAAGCCTTTGCAAAAGGTTTCTGGGGAGGGCAGCCTTATTGCGTCCTTCATGGTAGGACACTTTACCACTCCAGGCCAGTAACACGTCCTCGGGAATCATTGTAGAACAAAGCATTGCAGTGTATGTTTGCTGGCATTCAAACAACATCCGTTCTTTATCTCTCTGTGTTATCCTCAGGAGAGTGAGATATAATTCATGGTCACCTGGTTGAAATAGAGTGCTTTTCTTCAGGGGACACTCAGAGGAGCCCATTCCTGCTGGGCTGTTTGCCTGTGGCTAAACAGAAATGTTCCCTGCTGTTAGCCACAGGGAGGGGGGAAGGTTGAGGGGGTAGTCACGTGGTGGGAGGAGGCAAAATGCAACCTTGTAACGAAAGCACATGTGCTATGTATGTAATGTTAACAGCAAGGTTTACCCTGAAAGAGTGTAGCCACTGTTTTATAAAATGTGTCTTTTTAAATACCGCTGTCCCTTTTTTTTTCTCCACCAGCTGCATGTGTTTCAATGATCACAGGATCTTCTCCTTCCCAGAGGCTAGTGAAGCTTAAGAAAAGAAAAAAAACGCACTCGCGATGAAATGTTCTCCGAGCTCATGCTGTCCTCCCACACTGACAGAGCACAGACGAATGCGTGGAGGCAAATAATGTCAGAGTGCAGGAAAGCACAAAATGACCGGGAGGAGAGGTGGCGGGCTGAAGAGAGTAAGTGGCGGGCGAAGAGAGTAAGTGTCGGGCTGAAGACAGGGCTGAAGCTCAAATGTGGCGGCAGCGTGATGAGAGGAGGCAGGATTCAATGCTGAGGCTGCTGCAGGACCAAACCAGTATGCTCCAGTGTATGGTTGAGCTGCAGCAAAGGCAGCTGGAGCACAGACTGCCACTGCAGCCCCTCTGTAACCAACCGCCCTCCTCCCCAAGTTCCATAGCCTCCACACCCAGACGCCCAAGTACGCGGTGGGGGGGCCTCTGGCCAACCAGCCACTCCACCACAGAGGATTGCCCCAAAAAAAGAAGGCTGTCATTCAATAAATTTTAAAGTTGTAAACTTTTAAAGTGCTGTGCTTAAAGTGCTGTGTGGCATTTTCCTTCCCTCCTCCACCACCCCTCCTGGGCTACCTTGGTAGTCATCCCCCTATTTGTGTGATGAATGAATAAAGAATGCATGAATGTGAAGCAACAATGACTTTATTGCCTCTGCAAGCGGTGATTGACGGGAGGAGGGGCGGGTGGTTAGCTTACAGGGAAGTAGAGTGAACCAAGGGGCGGGGGGTTTCATCAAGGAGAAACAAACAGAACTTTCACACCGTAGCCTGGCCAGTCATGAAACTGGTTTTCAAAGCTTCTCTGATGCGTACCGCACCCTCCTGTGCTCTTCTAACCGCCCTGGTGTCTGGCTGCGCGTAACCAGCAGCCAGGCAATTTGCCTCAACCTCCCACCCCACCATAAACATCTCCCCCTTACTCTCACAGATATAGTGGAGCACACAGCAAGCAGTAATAACAGTGGGAATATTGGTTTCGCTGAGGTCTAAGTGAGTCAGTAAACTGCGCCAGCGCGCCTTTAAACGTCCAAATGCACATTCTACCACCATTCTGCACTTGCTCAGCCTGTAGTTGAACAGCTCCTGACTACTGTCCAGGCTGCCTGTGTACGGCTTCATGAGCCATGGCATTAAGGGGTAGGCAGGGTCCCCAAGGATACATATAGGCATTTCAACATCCCCAACAGTTATTTTCTGGTCTGGGAATAAAGTCCCTTCCTGCAGCTTTTGAAACAGACCAGAGTTCCTGAAGATGCGAGCATCATGCACCTTTCCCGGCCATCCCACGTTGATGTTGGTGAAACGTCCCTTGTGATCCACCAGAGCTTGCAGCACTATCGAAAAGTACCCCTTGCGGTTTATGTACTCGGTGGCTTGGTGCTCCGGTGCCAAGATAGGGATATGGGTTCCGTCTATAGCCCCACCACAGTTAGGGAATCCCATTGCAGCAAAGCCATCCACTATGACCTGCACATTTCCCAGGGTCACTACCCTTGATATCAGCAGATCTTTGATTGCGTGAGCTACTTGCATCACAGCAGCCCCCACAGTAGATTTGCCCACTCCAAATTGATTCCCAACTGACCGGTAGCTGTCTGGCGTTGCAAGCTTCCACAGGGCTATCGCCACTCGCTTCTCAACTGTGGGGGCTGCTCTCATCTTGGTATTCATGCGCCTCAGGGCAGGGGAAAGCAAGTCACAAAGTTCCATGAAAGTGCCCTTACGCATGCGAAAGTTTCGCAGCCACTGGGAATCGTCCCAGACCTGCAACACTATGCGGTCCCACCAGTCTGTGCTTGTTTCCCGAGCCCAGAATCGGCATTCCACAGCATGAACCTGCCCCATTAGCACCATGATGCATGCATTGGCAGGGCCCATGCTTTCACAGAAATCTGTGTCCATGTCCTGATCACTCACGTGACCGCGCTGACGTCGCCTCCTCGCCCGGTATCGCTTTGCCAGGTTCTGGTGCTGCATATACTGCTGGATAATGCGTGTGGTGTTTAATGTGCTCCTAATTGCCAAAGTGAGCTGAGCGGCCTCCATGCTTGCCTTGGTATGGCGTCTGCACAGAAAAAAGGCGCGGAACGATTGTCTGCCGTTGCTCTGAAGGAGGGAGGGGCGACTGACGACACGGCTTACAGGGTTGGCTTCAGGGAGCTAAAATCAACAAAGGGGGTGGCTTTACATCAAGGAGTATTTCAGGCAGGACTTCACGGAGGGTTCTAATAAGAAATGGTGCACCTAAGTTATCGTTCTTATTGGAACAAGGAGGTTAGCCTGGCCTCTGATTGATACATGGCTAGATTTACCTCACTGCACCTTCTCTGTGAGTGACTGCAGTGTGACCTAGAGGAATGAGTCCCCTAGACAGGGGAGGAGGCAAATGAGTACAAAACAAATCTGATCTATTTCTTGTTTTGACCCACTCCATCTATCTTTTACATCTTTGGCTAGCAGCAGACGGTGCAGAAGGACTGCATGCCATCCACATCTCATGGCTGCTCGGCAGAAGATGGTACAGTACCACTGCTAGCCATCCTCATCTCTTGCCTGCCTGGCAGAAGATGGTACAATACGACTACTAGCAATCCTCATCTCTTGCCTGCCTGGCAGAAGATGGTACAGTACGACTGCTAGCAGTCCATATCGCCTGCCCGCTCACCATAAGACGGTTCAATAGGACTGACTGCAGGACTAAAGAGAATGACCTGGTCAAGTCACTCCAAATTTAGTCCCTGCGCCCATGTCTGCCCAGGCGCTCCCAGCCGACGTGGCCAGGAGCACCTCGGACGCGACGAGGACGACTACCAGTCGTATTGCACCGTCTGCTGCCAGAAGGCAATGGGTTGCTGCTACTGTGTTGCAAAGCCATACCGCATCTGCCAGCACCCAGGAGACATAGGGTGACGGTTACCTGAGCGGGCTCCATGCTTGCCGTGGTATCGCGTCTGCACAGGTAACTCAGGAAAAAAGGCGCAAAACGATTGTCTGCCCTTGCTTTCACGGAGGGAGTGAGGGAACGGGGGCCTGACGATATGTACCCAGAACCACCCGCGACAATGTTTTAGCCCCATCAGGCATTGGGATCTCAACCCAGAATTCCAATGGGCAGCGAAGACTGCGGGAACTGTGGGATAGCTACCCACAGTGCAACGCTCCGGAAGTCGACTCTAGCCTCGGTACTGTGGAAGCGCTCCGCCGAGTTAATGCACTTAATGCACTTAGAGCATTTTCTGTGGGGACACACACACTCGAATATATAAAACCGATTTCTAAAAAACCAACTTCTATAAATTTGACCTTATTCCGTAGTGTAGACATACCCTCAGGGTCTCAGCATCAGATCTAGGATTAGAACTCCAAGTTCCCATCTCATAGTTGGGTGCTCAGAGCACTAGATCATGCCTTTCTCATTATGCAATTTTAAAAGAGAAATGATCAGATATAGAGGTTTGAGGGTGGAACTTGTGTAAAGTAATGCTACTTTCCCCAGCCTCCTGTACTCTGGGTCTCTTTTCTCTCACCTGTAAAAAAAGAGAAGGCAATGATACATATCTATCTTACACAGGTATTTGTGAGACAAACTATTTGAACGGGTTGGAAGATAAGGGCCTGATCCAAAGTCCACTGAGGGTATGTCTACAGCGCAGCTCATAGGTGTGATTCCCAGGCCAGGAGGACATAAACACATTAGCTCTACTGGAGCTAACGTGCTAAAAATAGCAATGTGGATATGGTGGCAGCTTGGGCTAACCACCCGAATACAATCCTGCCCAACATATTTGGGTAGCTACACCCTAGCCACACTGCTATTTTTAAGATGTTAGCTGAAGCAGAGTTAGCGTCTGTCTACCCACCCAAACTGGGAATCTCAACTTCTATGTGAGTAGACATATCCTGAAGTGAATGGGAATTTTTCTACTAACTACGCTGTATTCTGGATCAGGCCCTAAATGCAAAGAATTATTTTTATTTATTATAATTAGAAATAATATGGAGATATAACCCTTGAAGATGTTCTACCATAAAGGAATTTCTGTCAAGAAAGCTGGAAGCAGGGAGGAAGCCATCTGGGGCTTCTCATCCCCCTTGCCCCGTTATGCAGCATCAAAGCCGTAGAGAGAGTTTAGACACTAAGGGCTAAATCCACAAAAAGACGTAGGCTTTTTGACACTCAGCATTGCAATGCCCAACATTTATCACCTAGAAGGTCCGTGGAGTTCAAAAAGCTCAGGCTTCCTACACAATGACTAGAGATTGGCACCTACGAATGGGATTCACAAAAGCCAGCATGCACTTAAATAAGTGGGGAGGGGGCTGTCCTAAGCCCCAAGCCCCTCAGAGTGTTCATCACCTAACTCCACTTCTTCAGCTGCGAACCCTCTCCTGGAGTTAAGTGCCTCAGGGCTGATCTACACTACCCAGTTAGGTCAACATAAGGCATCTTAGACACTACAGCCTTCCTCCCATGGATGTAAGTGCCCTACTACACTGACATCATAACTCCGCCTCCACGAGAGGCGTAAGGCTTATGTTAGTGTAGTTAGGTCAACGCAGTGTCTGTGTAGACCAACGGTCCCCAAATTGTGGGGAGGAAATCTTGGGCGGGGCATGGTGGGCCTGATCCAGCCCCCATGAGGGGCAAGGGAGTGCCACCCAGCCACACTCTCCCTCCAGCAGCGGTCCTTGCTCCTGACCCCTGCCCAGGGCTCCTCTCCCAGCCCCAGCCCCAGCCCCAGCCCGGTGCTCCAGCCAGAGCTCCACTCCCGGCCGCAGCCTCAGCCCCTGGCTGTGGCTCCATTCCCGGCCCCCTTACCAGGGGCACCATTTCAGATTTTTTTGGGAGGGGGAACTTTAACCGTGATTCCAAGGGCTGCTTAGGCACCTGGAAACTCTAGGGTTTTTTTGCAGATAACTTAGAAATTAGCTTATAGAAGCACTGTATCTAATTCCTATATAAAAAAGAGGCTTTAATAAATATTCGATCCACTCAGCTCTAATACTAACATGTTCTCACATCTTGTGTCAAGTCACT